AGACAAGTGGATCTCACTGAAGCTAGTGGATATACTCCTGCTCATTCTTAGTGTCATTCACTACCATTTTCCTTATGTTACAAAGAGAGGATATTGAATTGGGTCAGATATTCCCTAATGATTGTTCAATTTCCTGAGCATGGGTGCCCAGATGTCTTTCTAGAAGACCCACTTCCTTGAGTGGGGAGATCTCCCCACGCAGTCAGTATCACAGCCTCATTACTGCAAGACCTCTGTGAATCATAGACTCACAGACTGGTTTGGGTGGGAAGGGACCTTAAAGCTCATCCAGTTCCAATCCCCTGCCATTGGCAGGGACACCTCACACCAGACCAGATTGCTCCAAGCCCCTGTGTCCAACCTGGCCTTGAACACTGCCAGGGATGGGGCAGCCACAGCTTCTCTGGGCACCCTGTGCCAGTGCCTCAGCACCCTCACAGGGAAGAACTTCCTAATATCCAATTCAATCCACCCTTTTTCAGGTTAAAGCCATTCCCCTTGGCCTGTCCCTACAGGCCCTTGCCCAGAGCCCCTCTCCAGCTTTCCTGCAGCCCCTTCAGGCACTGGAGCTGCTCTCAGGTCTCCCCTTCAGGAGCCTTCTCTTCTCCAGGCTGACCCAGCCCAGCTCTCCCAGCCTGGCTCCAGAGCAGAGCTGCTCCAGCCCTCACAGCATCCCCATGGTCCTAATAATAGGGCCACAAACAACACAACACCCTCTCCCCACCTTCACCCAAGACTCGCAGTGAGAACTGCGTGTGCTGAGCCCAGGCAGGGTCAGCACTATCCCACAGAGCCCATGTCTAAACCCATGGTTCCCACCATGTCCAAACAAGAGCCATACCCTACAGCAGCCCAACCAGCGTCAACTTGGTGAAGACGGTGCGCAAAGATTATCTCCTGCTTTATGGGCAGTGCCATCTGGCACAGATGCACATGTGGGAGATTACACATATAAAAGCCAGGAGCCGCAACAACAACAACCACCATTTCCATAATAGTTCTCCTTTCTCTTTTTCTCTTCTTTGAAGGAAAACGCGTTGACCGTCTCATTTGGATTCATAAAGGAAACCTATTAATGAAAGGCTTCAAAGAGCCGTCTCAGAACTTTTAATCAGTAGTTGTGCTTTAGCCTGGAAAGCAAAAGAAGCAGAGGGGGCTGGGTGATGGGCTTCTTTGTTGTCGTTTCTGGTAGTGTTTGCTTAAAGCACCAGCCTGTTTGAAAGCGGGCTGGGTGAGGGAGCCCAGCAGGGAGCCTCTTCTCGCCCACCTGGAGAAGAGGCCCCCTGAATGCTTGTTTTCATTAGCATGGGCCTCTCTGGCTCTTCAAAACCCTTTCCACCCGTTGCCAAGGCAACCTGGAGCCGTATTGCGGCACACGGGTGTTGTGCATCAACTGGTGTGTTTGGGCTGAACTGAAACAAATAAGCAAATAAGCATGCAAAACGGCCACAGGCCCAACAAGGGCACTGTCTTTTATCATGGACATCTAACATTTATGGGGTTTTCGAGCACTCTACAAGGCGTAGCAGCAAGGAGGTGGTTGATCAAAAAAGGAAAATGCATGTGCATGCACGGGCAGTTCTTTCAATTTTAATGGGTCTTCTTGCTTGAATAAGGTGAAGGGAATTGGGTCTAGAACGTGCAATCCCACTTGTGAGCCTTGAGTTATGTTTTCATGGCATTTGATGGCTCTCAGCTGGGCCTGGCTTCCCAGCAGGACTTGGTTCCCGCTCCTGCATCTGCATCAGCACCAGCACCAGCATCAACATCAGCATTAGAGGCTGTTTTCCCACCAGGCTTGGATACTACACAGGCTACAGGTGGTGTTGCTGAGCGCTGACAAAATAACCTCCATAGAAGGTGCTGTAAATCCGGCTTTTGGGATCCAGCAGCTCCTGGACTCTCACCTGAGTCATTTATACTGCAATGATACACGCCACTATCGTGGGGATAAGAGTTAAGTCCATGGGCTTGAGGTTTTGGTTTCCAGGCAGTGCAAGCAATCAGCTTTGTGGAGAAAGAGGGTGTCTGGGGAGATACCACAGACTCCTTGTGGTTGTGGATCAGCACCTGCAGACGTGATAGTGAGGGGGTCTAAGGGGAACAGTCTCCATCGCTGCCTGCACGAGGTTCCTCTCAGCAACCGCCTGTCAGATTATCGGAGGCCAGGAGAACAGCATCCCTGGGAATACGTGTAGCAAGTCCAGCTAAGAACAGCAGCAAAAAGGAGTTTTCCTTTTGATTCAGGAAGGGAGGTGCTGGCTGCAAGTGCTGGCAGGGGAAGAGGGAAGGGAAGTGGGGCAGGAAGCTCTGCAAGGGGCACTGTCCATTGCTCGGTACCATGCTGTGCTGTGCTAGCAGTCATCAGAGCAGGAGCCAGGCAGAAGCAAGGCAGTGAGGTGCATGAAGATCCTGCTTGCTGTTAGGTGTAGGTGTCCAGCAGGGAGGAGACATGAGGGCTGCCTTTCCTCAACGGGGACCACAATGGAATCCATCGGCTGCAGCGGAGCTCGTGCTTCCCTCAAGGTGACTGAGAGGTGAAGAAGCACCTCTGTGAAGCACTAATTGAGTGATTTCTGAACATGGTCTGGGCTACCAAGTGCAGACCCAGTGCTGGGTGGCTCCCGTGCCCAGAGTCCTGTCTTTAGTTAACACCTTCTGCCTTGTGGTTTAGAAACGAGACGGAGAACGTGGTGTGATGCCACGCCAGCCATCTCCCTTCTCCTTGCTTCACCTTCTAAGCCCTGCTTGCAGCTTCACCAGAGAGAGCCCCTCTTTGCCAGCACACAGCCCCCTTCGCAGGACCCAAATGCCCAGCTCCCTGAAGTCCTCCATCTCCTTGCTCCCTTGGGATCCTTGGGGTACAAACAGCAGCATGCAGGCGCTGTGTCCCACCTGGGGTACGTGTTTCAAGCACGTGGAGGGGTCATACTGTCAAACTGCAGTCATTTTCACCGTGTGTGATGTTTGCACCCCAGCTGAAGCGATGGGCTCCAGTGCATCATGTGGTGAATGGCAACGTACACCAAAGGACCTTCTCCAGCCTGTTTCTCTGCTGCTCTCCCAGCTCCCTTTTCTGAGCAGACCTGCAGTGCTAGCAGCTCCTCCAGCATGCACTCGTGTGGCAGCTATGTTATTTTAAGCTCCCAAGTGTTATTGTAAAACACACCTTCCAGATGCAAGGATTCAAAAGGATTTGAATCATATGTACCAAGTATTCCAAATGCGTGGAGGTGCACGCATGGGTACATGCTTGCACATGTGTGTATTGTTGCATGTTGCATTATATGGTTTTATATCCACTAGATACAAATACTGATCTTTTTTTACATATCTATACTCAAATACATAAGCCTTTAAAATGTATATGTACCTATATCGCACAAAACATGCCAGATATTTAAGGGTTAAGACTTCAGATGATTTAATTCTAGTTTATATTTCCATTTTACTTCTTATGTGAGCTGTAACCTCTTTATTTAGGACTTTCAAATACGTAGCTATATATAACTATGACTGCTGAAATGAATGTAAGCACCATTAAAACGTGTGTCTTCTTGTGCAAGCTCTGTAACTGTCGTAGGCATAAATACACAAACAGAGGTGACGATCAATCATAGATGTGCTACAAAAAAATACATATTTATACAGCCGTGAGAAAGTCTGACTTGCCCAGGGGTACCTGAAGCTGATCATGTAAATGCATCTCATGTAAGCTAAAGGCTGAAAAATGGGTTTATAACCAGAACTCTAAAGTTCTTACAAAGCTCTCATCACACTTCAACCTAAGACCTCAGAAACAGAAGGAGCAGAAGGGAAGTACTATGGAAGGAGCAACAGCATGCACACTATTTGTGGTCCATGTTGGGTTTGGTTTTGGTATCTGTGTTTCACCTGGATCGCCCGTGTTAGCTCCAAAGTGTGTTAGGAAACATAGGGAAAACCTTGTCTCTGTCTGACATGTCTGATGAGACTGCATTGGGATTGATACCATATCCACCCCTTTGTGATGATAACTTCAGGTCTCACGCCGTGCCCATTACTGAGTGGTGTAGCTGTATCACAGTCTCTCCTGCAGCCTGATCGTCAGGATTTAGCACCAATTTGCTGAGGGTTTCCCAGCTTTTCATGCTGGACAGGGAGGGATGGATGGAATGGGGGATGTAGACCTGACCCCAGTCCACATGATGGGGAGCCAGAGTCACAGGGGACTTGCTTGCAGTCACCCAGGCAGAGCAGAGAATTAAACTGCATAGGCATTGTTAGAAACAAAAAGAGGAAACCATCCGACCTGACACAATAAATGTGATTGTCCAGGCCTCAGATGGTGAAAACTGGCACAAAACCCATTGACTGCACCAGAGCTCTGCTGATGAGCTGAGAACATGGTGCAGTGAAAGAGGATAGGCTTATAGCATAGGTAATAGAGTACACGTTGTCCTCCTCCCTGGCTAACATCTATTAGGTTCAGTGAGGCTGTAATGATACGTATTAGAGGATGTCCAGCATGATCTATGGAGTGGTTTAAATTGCATCAGACTTAGGGTGAATGGGGAAACTCAATAATTCTGGAAAATTGTGCCTATAAATTTCTTTCTCATGCAGCTTGTAGTGTTTCCAAAGATGATTGTGACATGGCTGCATTGAATACGCACCTTACAAAGTGTGAGGTTCAAAGAAGCAGACTTTGGCTTTTATGAACAGTACATAAGTGTTTCAGTTCACCTTTAAGGAGTGAGCTCCATTGCACCAATCTGCTTTTCTGGTAGTACATCTCTTAGGAAGGAAAAGGCATATGAGTCTGCCCTGAGGAAAAGCAAGTCCCCGTTGGTAAGATGAGGTCCTTGAGCCCAATAGTGCTAATTCTTTCCCACTGAGATGAAACCCAGCCCAGGAGCAAGGAACAGCAGAAGTCCCATGCACCACTTCAGCCCCATTTAAACTGGAGTGCGGGAAGGGGCAGGGTGAAGAGGAGGAAACCATGTGTCAGCTGTCTGCTAAAGGATCAAATTAATCTGATCAGTAATCTTTGCTCAGTGAGGAGTGTGCTGCTGGTCTTATCTAGCCTCCTTTTGAGATTAAGCACAAGAGTGAAGAATTGCAGGGCTTGGCAGTCTATTTGTTGTTGATCATTCCCTGGTCATATTTTCCATGTGTTTTATGGGGGTAGGATGAGTATGCTCCATTTCACATGGCTGAGATAATATTCCCCTGGAATGGGGAAGACATGGACTAACCTAAATGAGAGGGAAAGAAACACCAGCAAGAATCCAAACCCACCAAAACCAAACCAAGCCTCTGGGGCTTTGGGGAGGGTCGAGGTAAAAACCAGCTTCTCATGATTTCATCAAGCCATGGTTGCTGTCCTGCTGCCCTCACCCTATACTGGTGGCCCCACTGAAAGCAATGGCCTAGTTTAAGGGTTAGGACACTCCGGATCAGCAGTGCACTTCAATATGCACTCAACTGAAACATCCAAACAATCCCTTTGTATTCAGTGGCTGCACTCAGCGTTAAAAATAAGCCTGCTGTTAAGTGCCTTCATCAGCTCTAGGTCTAATTATTTACTTTACATGAGTAGTTCCAGAGGAACTCAGGTCTTTGCTGTTTGGGTAAGGAAACAAGAAAAACAGCCCCCGCTTCTGGTTTACGCAGTGGCGAAATGAAGTGTGCTTTGTAGGGGTAAGTACTCTCAAAGTCTTTTTGTGCAATGAAACCTATGTCAAACAGATCAGAATAACAAAACAGAGGTAGATTTCCTAAATAAATGTATAAAAAAATGAAATCTTTTGTAGACAAAGGAATTTTGCCAGAGATCCTATGGGTGTTTTAAAGTGATGTCTTCAGACAAGGCTCAGTTGGGGGGGGGGGGGGGACTTGCAAAGTATTTTTGAATGTTATTTGCTATTTCTGGATGGATTTGAGGTGGAGTTTCAATAAGGAGGAAGCATAAAATGAATAAAAACCAAAATGCAGATTCTCCACATTAATTTCTAAGTATTACTTCTGCCATCTAAGGACAATTTGTCCCCCTGAATAAAGCCTCTCCAAAGCCTTATGCAGCATATTATGTCCCTAAAATAGAGCTTATTTAAAGTGGGCTTTAAGGCATATGATGCCTTAAAGTCAAGTTCCTCCAGGAAGTGGAAATGGCATGAAGATGGGGGCTTACCTAATGAACACTGCGTCCAGTTAATGGTCCCAAGTGTGTGCCCAAAAGGGAAGGGTGGAGGCGAGAGTGAAGTATCTTTAAAAGTTAATGAAATCTTTCATTTCAGTAATTGAGATACCTGTTTGATTTATGTTTGGTTCTCTCCTGGCTGGAGGCTCTCAATCAATCAGAGCCAGTTTGTCTCATCCTCGCACGTCAAGGCCAGGATTCATCTCACGTCAGGCGCTTGGTTTGCAACAGCAGGGGTGAAACACAGGATCTCCTGAGGATGATTCATATCATAGGTGGGCTGAGTCGCCCTCAGGAGGTGCCTGCCTCTCCCTGCCTTGCCTATAATGGGAACCAAGGGCTGACAGCACTCCAAACTTAGCCACCTCAGCTACGTGCCTATAGTGCGGTAGGATGAATCCGGGCTCATACATATTTTTTCCTCCCTCCAGGTAAAATTTCACTTTGCATTGACCTTCTGCACTGTTCCTCTCTCAAAAGCAGTCTCCAGGGGAGCATCAGGGCTCACAGAGCAAATGGGCACTGTGTTGACCCTGCAGACTTCCATCGTTGATGTCCTTCCATTGGGGGCTTCAGAGGTGTCTTCCAGGGTTTCCATCCGTTCCATGAGAGGCCAGCACTATTAATATTCCTGATCATAAACTCCAGAGAACCACAAGCAAAGCTCCCGCACTCTCAGAATAGCTCCAGTGCTAAATATAGGGGATTTTTATGAATCTATTTGCCACTTCCATTAGTCAGGGCAGAAATACATTATTGTAAGATGTCTAAGCATTTTGTCATTGCTCACTGGCTGTTTCAAAACGTCGTCTAAGCAGTTATCACTGTATTTCTGGTTGATATTATAACAACCACTGGCTAATCACAGAGTCAGCAGTGAAAACTGCTCTAATCGTTATCTTTCTGGCTAAGTAACTTCCCCGTTATTTGTTGTACACCGCAGATTTTGGCACGTGGGGCTTCTTTTTTTTTCTCTTCTCATGTTAAATGTGAGATTTTATCCTCAAAGGAGTGATTATCTCCGAGCAAAATTGGCAAGGTTAAACACTATCTATAAAAAACCAGTCAGCAGTGTGCCATGAAATGAATTGCATCATATATCACTCATCTACCTGGCGTTTGAAAAAGTGTGAATATGTGTTTGTTCAGTTTGGGTGAGTACTTTATATTAGGCTTCTTTTTCCATGAAGGTAAAAATGACCTTGATTATTAGAAAGTGAAGATATATTGAAGCGGGTAGAATCGACACAGCTCCATTTCATTTAGTCCCCACTAAAATTGAAAGAAGACGAAAATAGAGATTGAATTTATTTTACTATATATTGCCTCATTTGAACTTTAGTAAAGCATTAGCCACCAAGGAAAAGCCTTCTCCCACCTCCCTTCCATAATCTCTTACAGATGGAAGGTTAAGGAAATTGTCCTGACTTTATTGATTCTTTGCTATGAGGTTCAACCAACAGCTGGTGTGTTACTGGGGAAATGTGTGCTGTGCTATAGTTACTGGAAAGCAGCGTTTTGACCTGGCAGCTCTGTGTACCCATATGAAAAAGCTCCTGACACTTTTAAATCCCAAATTGGTCTATTCCCCCCCCCCCTTATACCTTAATACATCGTCTCTTTAGGACCCCACCGAAAAAGCTGTATTATACCAATCCAAGTATTTTACAGAATGAAGGAAAATAGTACCCTGCCAAGATGGAAAGCCACAGGCTGCAAACTAGCTGCTAGATTCTGCCAGGTCACTTGAATTGTCTATTAGTTCCAGAAATACTTCCCTTGTGATTGTTATAAAATGACCAGTGTGTGATGCTGCGTGCTGCTGGCCTCTGGCAGTTCGATCATTCATCAGGTGGAACTTCAGACACCTCCTGATTCAAATTTCCTGTTAAAATGAAGGGATCAACGTGAACCCTTTCTTCTCCCTTTAGGTTGATTTTGAGACTAATTGGTGTCTTCAAAATTCTGGGGAGCATTTTCAGCTGGCATCAACCAGCCCAGCTCTAGTGGAGCCCACAGAGGTACACCCATTTGTACCAGCTTAGCAGCTGGCCCTCTGAATGTGAAAATCTACATTAGCACCTATTTTATAGGTGATAATTGCTGCCTAAGTACTGCAAGCCCAGGATATTAGCACTAGTTCTGAGGAACTTCACAGTGGGTCAAGCTCATCCCTATGGTGAGGAGCTGGTGGCACATCTTCCAACAGATTTCATCTCCCAGGGTTCTCCTCAGCCCCACAGCTCCCCTCCTTTCTTTGTCTCCTCACCATAATGGTCCTCTTACTGCTTCTTGAGGGGCTGCAGAAGCTTAAATCCTAGCCGGGAGGCTCATGAGGAGCAGAACAAAAGCATGAAGCACCTGACCTGCAACTCCCACAAGACTTTCCTGCATCAGTATAAACTGTTTGTCTCTTTTGGCCAAACTATTTCAGACTGGCTTGGTTTTGGTTTTGTAAACCTGTGAGAAGTGTAGAATTGCCTACAATTCTTTGCTAACCTTTTCTACGCAATATAACCTTCAAATATTGCTGGTTCTCATGAGGTTAAACTGTCCTCCCACCCCATATTTGCTGGTGTTCTCCTAGAAACACATGAACATGAGAGATCTCGGTCCCCATTTATAAAGCTGGAAGGCTCAAAGGCCCAGACCTCCAACCTTCCTTCGGATTCATGCTCCTTCTGGTTCTTTGCAATACATTCCTCTTTAAGCTAAGTTCATCTTCCTGCAGGTGCTTATTTTAGCTCATAGCTTTTTGTCAATTTGGCATTAACAACACTGCAGCTAAACTTTCAGAAGAGTGCTTACTTGGGATTGATCGGTGCATGGGGCTGGTAGCCAGGTGGGCTGTGGGAGAGCTGGGAAGCAACAATGGGAGACACACTCCTTTATGTTAGTTGTCTGGTATTTGTCATGCTCTATTTGGGGGTCTGAACTTATCCCCTGGGTGGACTTCAGTGGGATGGATTACAGTTCAACATTGCATAGGTATACTTCTATTTGACATCTCTGCAAAATTATTACATTAGTAGTATAAAATCTCCTAAGGGCCTGATATGAAATTCTTCCATTCATCAGTCAAATTATGCTGCTAGTAAGAAGTATGGCCGACCCAGCCTACCGTCAGGACCAAATTCAAAGGCAGTATATACAGCAAATGTAATTTAGACCTCTTGGCCTCATTCCTCACCTCTGCTGCAGAGCTCAGCGCTGCAGAGCTCACTAGCACTAGCAAGGAGGAGCTTCCCATTACGGATATAAAGCCATTTTCACCCCCGTTAATTCCCTGCACCAGGCACTAAGTCTAGGTTGAGAAAAAAAATTGCATCCATTTGATGAGGTACTCCCTTTCTTCTCCAAGGCAAATCTTGGGTAGTTCCCAAGCACAATCTGTACTCTGTGACCTTCAGGTATGGCTGAAGTTTAAGTCCCCAGAGAACTTTGGATGGCTGTGTTGATTTCACTAGCAAAATCCAAGGCGAGAAGGAAAACCTTCAAGGACAATATGTGTCTCTATTCACTCAGTGACTTCCTTCCCTGCCTTTCGTCTTTGCCCTCCCCAGTCACTCTAGGGTTTGAGTGCCTCACACCAATGCAGGTTTCTCTTCATCCCTTCCCATGGAGAAAAATGCCATTGTTTTAATTCTACTTGTTGAGGAGCTGTTCTACAGAGGGATTAAAGAGCTCCCTGCAAGCCCTATAATAAACCAGAGCAGGTATTCCCCAAGGCCCAGCCTGCAGACTCAGCTCCTACACAGCCCCCTTCTCCCCTCCTCTCCTATAGACCATGCTTCTCATGATCACTATCTCCGTAGAGCCCTAGCAGCCAGCTCCACCAGAGCTTCGCATTGCTGGACTCTCTGCATACAGAATCATAGCACCAACTGGGTTGGAAAAGCCCTTCAAGCTCACCCAGTCCAACCGTTCCCAGCACTGCCAAGGCCACCACTAACCCATGGCACTGAGGCCTCGTCTCCACGCTGTGTGAACACTTGCAGGGACGGTGACTGCAGCCCTGCCCTGGGCAGCCTGGTCCAATGCCTGAGCACCCTCTGGGGAAGGAATTGTTCCTCAGCTCCATCTAAACCTGCCCTGGTGCAGCTTGAGGCCGTTTCCTCTTGTCCTGTCCCTTGTTCCTTGGGAGCAGAGACCGACCCCACCTCACTACAACCTCCTGTCAGGCACTTGTAGGCAGCGATCAGGTCCCCCCTGAGCCTTCTTTTCTCCACACTGAACCCCCCAGGTCCCTCAGCCGTTCCCCATCACACTTGTGCTCCAGGCCCTGCACCAGCTCCGTTGCCCCAAGGAGGCACACACCAAGTCATTCCCTTTTCCCTCTGCTGTCAGAAGCAGAAGTTCCTCCATCCTGTTAGGATTATTTTAAAGCACTCTTTAAAGCTGACTCAGACAATGTGATGCAGCCTGGAGACAGGAGAAAGACTCACAATAGGTTCACCCGGTGTTCCTGGCACCACGGATGGTGTGGCACCATCATGTCCCATCACTGCATGACCTCTGCAGTATTTCTCTGCCCAGTGGGGTGAATGCCAAATAGCAGGAGGCTGGTTTCTGTTAGAATCCATTTTGCCTTCCCCTGTTACTTTAACACCGCCTATTTGCGCTGTTAAAACGAGACATGACATTGCACCAAAACTCTCTGCATGGCTTCGCTCCCCATCTTCCCCAAGCCCCAGATGACTTTGAAGAACAAGGAACCCGACTCTGAGAGCGGGGCCCGCGATATTCGTGGAGCATTAGATCATGTCCACGTTAGGTATAACCCAGTACAAATCCTCTCCGTGTCACTGACACCGTGAGGGTTGTTACAATTGCTCATAGCTTAAAACAATTTTGCAGCTTTTCTTCACCCCCGTGAGTTAGTTCCAATTAGAGGAAGGGAACTTTCCGACCCTGCAGAGTTTCTATTTAGGACACAGCCGTGTCCTCACAACACGCTGTCAGCCCTGCCGAGCAGCCGGCAAAACGTCCACCGTGTTACAGAGACGTGACAAAAACAGAGGGAGAAGAGGGATCTGTGCTCCAGTTTCCTTCAAAGGCTCTTGGAAACACCTCCTTAGGCGTTTAGTTTGTTCTGCCTGACGCTGCGGTCGCGGCGCTGAGAGGCCTCCTTCTGCGTCGCCTGCCTTGCAAATGATGTTCCCGTTTCAGAAAGTTGGAGGAAAGAGAGAACAGGGAAAGGAGAGCAAATCAAGTGGCAGCAAACCTGCCAACGTGCCTTTGGGAATGGGGAGGCAGGGGCTCGAGCAGCCTGGAACTGGTTGGAGCAAGTCCGGAGGAGGCTACGAGGATGCTCAGGGGCTGGAGCACCTCCTGTATGGAGACAGGCTGAGAACATTGGGGCTGTTCAGCCTGGAGAAGAGAAGCTGCGTGGAGACCTCAGAGCAGCTTCCAGTGTCTGAAGGGGGCTACAAGGATGCTGGAGAGGGACTCTTCATCAGGGACTGTAGTGACAGGACAAGGGGTGATGGGTTCAAACTGAAACAGGGCAAGTTCAGGTTAGATCTAAGGCAGAAGTTCTTCCCTGTGAGGGTGCTGAGGCGCTGGCACAGGGTGCCCAGAGAAGCTGTGGCTGCCCCATCCCTGGCAATGTTCAAGGCCAGGTTGGACACAGGGGCTTGGAGCAACCTGGTCTGGTGTGAGGTGTCCCTGCCCATGGCAGGGGGTTGGAACTGGGTGATGTTAAGGTCCTTTCCAGCACAAACCAGTCTGGGATTCTATGATTCTACCACCCAAAGGCAGAGGCACATGGGGTGGAGGAGCCCGTGCCCAGTCACAGCCCACGATGAGCAGCCGGGGCTGGCCCTGGCCACGCAGCTGCGGAAACGTGGCTCTTCGCTTTGTGCTCCCCCAAGCAGTGGGGTGATGTGGGTGTCTCTAGGGTGAGCCAGGCACTAGGGCACCCCATAGCTGGGAACGTGGTTGAAGCACACGTGGGCCTCAAAACCACAATAACCAGGATACAGATTTGCCCCCTCATCCCTGCTGGCAACACATCCCTCCACCGCAACCCTCCTGCCCACAGTGCTCACAGGCACACATGCCCTGTATCCATGGGCAAGGAATGGCAGGAGCAGGATGGCTTGCCTGCTCCTGGTCACTGCAACCAAACGGTACTCCCTACCAGGACATTTAGGTGCCAGGCTCTCTGATGCCATCCCTGTTTTCCAGGAGTTAGCAGATACCAGCACTGGCTTTATGCTGAAGGACCAGGCAGCCAGATAGGGCACCCCCCATGAGTGGGTCTGTCTCCAGGAAGACAAGGGAAACCTTCTGTTGCCACATCCTTGTTTTCCAAGGGGTTCATCATAACATGCTGCTGTAAAAATGCTGGCAGAAGGAATGACTGTAAATGTGACCACAGTGCTGGCCAGATACGCTCAGTCAGAGAGCAGTTTGAGGCCAGCTTTGGAGTGGAAAACTAGAAGTACATGGGAGCTGAAGCTTTATTCCAGGCTGAAAGGGTGATGTTTGAAATGGAGGTGCCTCCTGAGAGCATGGAAAACAACAGCGTGCCAGGATATCAGCTGGTGATTAAGTTACCCACGAAAGCGGGAACCTATAGAACAGGTCAGCAAAGTCAAACAAGAAAACTCTGTCCTCAAATGCTTTTTCCCTTTCTTGCTGCAAGCGTCTGCTCTCTCCCTCTCTCTGCCTTGCCTGTCTGAACTTGCTGTGCACCAGCTCAATTCACTAACCCAGCAAAAGAAGGTTTCTAACAAGCAGATGGGGTGATTTGGTTTGGTGAAAGGTCCAGTGATGGAGGAGCTTGTGCACCTGGCAGCAGGGATAGATGGAGTGAGGAAGAGGAGTGGGAGACAGTGGAGCAAAACTCCCCCTCCAGCAGAAACAAGGGGTTAGAGTAGCTCGGCCATAACACATGCACAGGACAAACAATGCACAAGTGAGCAGCTACGAAGCGAACAAATAAAGACTCAGGGGGGTGAGATCCAGGAATAAACCAAAGGTTTTTGCTTTCTTTTCTCCCTTCCTTCCTTTCTAT